GGAAAGTTGTCTGTGGAGGGATTCGTGCTGGCCCAGTTTTGGTGAGGCAGTTTTACAGCACCCAGGCAAAGAGGCAGGTGCTAAGGAGCAAAATACTCGAACAAATTAAGATAGATTTGAAGGAAGATATCCATACATCCCTCCCTCCCTCCCTTCTTTCCTTCTTCTCATTCCCATCTCTCTCTCTCTCCCTTTCTTCCTTTCTTCCCCATCTCCTTTTCCTTCCTTCCTTCCTTCCTTCCTTCCCCATCTCCTTCTTTTCCTTCCTTCCTTCCTTCCTTCCTTCCTTCCCCATCTCCTTCTTTTCCTTCCTTCCCCATCTCCTTTTCTTTCATTCCTTCCTTCCTTCTTCATCTCCTTCTTTTCCTTCCTTCCTTCCCATCTCCTTCTTTTCCTCCCTCCCTCCCCCTCTTTCCTTCCTTCCCCATCTCCTTCTTTCCCTCCCTCCCTCCCTCCCTCCTCTCTTCCTTCCTTCTTCCCTCCCTCCCTTTCTTCCCCATCTCCTTCTTTTCCTTCCTTCCCATCTCCTTTTCCTTCCTTCCTTCCTTCCTCTCCTTCTTTTCTTTCCTTCCTTCCTTCCATCCCCATCTCCTTCTTTCCCTCCCTCCCTCTCTTCCTTCCTTCTTCCCTCCCTTCCTTCCTTTCTTCCCCATCTCCTTTCCCTCCCTCCCTTCCCCTGATTAGGTCTGAGAGTTGGAAGCCCAGGTATAGCTCCTCTTCCCCTTGAATTGCCACTTTACTTCACAGAGCTTTGATACGGTGCAACAGAAGTGGCTTCAACAGCCCCTAGAGGGCTGCAAAAGCTAGGTTTACATTTTCATAAAATAAAACAGAAGGAAGCCAAAACTGCACCTGAAAACTAAGCTGGCTCTGCTTCCTAAGCAAGGAGAGGAGGAAAGCTCCCTGAATGCTCTCCAGCTGGTGGTTCCAATCTCCCAGAGAACCCAGATAATCCCAATTCCAGATGTGCTAATTAGAAGGTGGCATTTCCCAAAGAGCTTTTCATCCAACAGCTATTTTGCCTTTCTTTCTTTCTTTCTTTCTTTCTTTCTTTCTTTCTTTCTTTCTTTCTCTCTCTCTCTCTCTTTCTTTCTTTCTTTCTTTCTTTTTCTTTCCTCCCTCTCTCCCTCTTAAGGGCTGGAGGTCAGCCTCCCTACGATACCAATTAGGCTGGGTTGTGCTTTGGCTATGCTATCATGTGGTCTGCTTGATGCTTATCTTAATAGAAGTTGTGAACCTAGTTATGAGAGAGAGAGAGAGAGAGAGAGAGAGAGAGAGAGGGAGGGAGGGAGAGGAAGAGAGAGAAAGATAATATACTGGAGATAGATAGATGATAGATAGATAGATAGATAGATAGATAGATAGATAGATAGATGGATGGATATAGATATAAACAAACAGACATACAGAGATAGATAGACAAACAAACAGATAGATAGATAGACAGACAGAGACAGACAGACAGACAGGCAGGCAGGCAGGCTTAGCATGATAGGCTAACCCAGCTGATTGCTGGAGAAGGGAGAGTCAATCCCCCAAACTCAGTTCATGACCCAATTAGGTAACATCATCAGTGCTAGTGAGGTATGCAGGGAGGAGGAGGAGAAGAGAAGGAGGTGGAAGAGGACTGTCAGGTCCTTGGTGCTGTCTGAGCTGGGTGGTTTTCTTGCAGACGTTTCATGACCCAACTAGGTAACATCATCAGTGCACCTTCTGCAAGAAAACTACCCAGCTCAGAAACCACCAAGGACCTCACGACTAAAAAAATCAGAGACCATAAATCAGTGAAACCCAAAACCCGGCCCAAAATAAACAAAAAATTAGAGAAGGCTAAGACAAATTAAATATGGATTACTTTAATTCCAGAGTAGATGGCACGCTGTGAATGACTCGGAAGGAGTGTTGCTGATAATATTTGTAATTCAAGAGTTGAATTGTGGGGTCCCTGGTGCTCTCTGAGCTGGGTGGTTGTCTTGCAGACCTTTCATGACCCAATCTAGTGTAATATCAGTACACTGATGATGTTACCTAATTGGATCCCGAAAGGTCTGCAAGAAAACCACCTGGCTCAGAGAGCACCAGCGACCTTTCCACCTCCCAAATCTTCAAGAATAAAGCAGGCATAAAGGCAGCGTTTTTAGTAGCGCCAGAGACCGTTTATTTTTGAACATTATCACCGGCTCTTTGCAATCAACCCAGCCATGGATCTCTCCAGCGACTAGAACAGCAGTTATGAACTAGTCTCAGTTATATAATTTCTTTTTTTAAAAAAAAGAAGAAATGTACATCTCTCGCTCTGCGGGGCAACCCGCCCCAAATCATCTCAAACACCCCGTGCCATCGTGCCTAAAATTTGGGCTCAGAAAAAGAAGAAGACAGATAGCAAGAGGGTGATCCAGAGTAATAACAGACAAGCTAAACCATCTGGACTTGCATCAAAGCAACAGTTTTCTGAGTCTACACCAGGAGGAGGAGGAGGAGGAGGAGGAGGAGGAGGAGGAGGAGGAGGAGGAGGAGGAGGAAGAGGTGGCATCAGCAGCAAAGTAAATGCGCAGCACTGGAATAGAATCACTTAATGATACCAATGTGAATTCTTCTCTAGATAAAAGTACCAGCTACAGGAGTTGATACCTCCAGGGAATATTGTCTTCCCATAGGAAATGCTACCAACCCGTATTAAATTAAGTGGAACTGTGGAATAATCCCCATTATTCTCTGTGGAATAATCCCCATGGGTTCTCACAAGGATTGACAGTTTTAAAAAAATGAACTCAATTTACTCTGGTGCTATCTACTCCAAGACTGGAGAACCTACAGGTCTTCCAGATGCTGCTGGAATAACAACCTCTAGCAGAAAGGATGGTCAACATTGAAGAAGGCTAGGAGATGGGTTCTCAACCTTTGGAGGCCCATTTATAATCCACGCCTCTAAGTATTCCAGTCCACTAACTAACCTGAGACTTTCTCAACCTAGCTAGCTCAAGACTTTGGGTATTCCAGAAGCAGCCCCATTGATATGGTTCCTTTCCTCTAGAGCAGGGGCCTTCAAACTTGGCCCTTTGATGACTTGCGGACTTCAACTCCCAGAATTCCTCAGCCAAGCACGCTGGCTGAGGAATTTTGGGAGTTGAAGTCCACAAGTCATCAAAGAGCCAGGTTTGAAGGCCCCTGCTCTAGAACATGGTTTTATTTGGGAATTGAGATGCTCCCTACAAGAAAAAATATATGACCATTTCCATTAGTCCAGTCATTTGGACAACCTTTCTGATAGACCTTAGTGATAGCGTCAAACTCATGTTCTCCAGCCCAGCAAAATGTGTTATTTGTTCTACTTTCAGAATATCTCAGTTTACACTGAACATTCTCTAGACGTCCCTACCGGAGCAGAAATGGTCAACTGGGTGAAAAGTGCTGCCTTCTCCTCATCTGGGGCCTTCCAAATTTTGAGTAACACAGCAAGATGGAGGAGTCTACCCGTTATGGAGTCCGTGCAATGTGTATCTCGAGAGCTACTAAGAGATCAGCCTTGCCCTGAAGGTTTTGACCCTCAGCAACCTCTGCCTACCACTCTAGAGAACCAACTGGATCCATAAAACCCAACGGTTCTGAGAAGATCAAAGTTGGCCACTCCTCAACTAGAGAACAGGTCTCGCAATTTCTGCAGAACAGAAGATCATCAGACTGAATCAATCAGCCGTTTCAACCAGCCGTGGGAAGGACAGCAGTGTCCCCACATGCCATTTGTTGCCCACCCACTCGCCCCCAAATCCAGAGAAAGTGCTTCCAACTATAAACCAAACACGGTTGGGTTAGTTAGAATAAGCACGATCCCACAACGTTGTTCAGGAGTCAGGAACTGCGATGTGTTGTTTTTCCGCCGGCTGAGCCATTTTGTAAGCTAATTTGGGAGATGCATCTCTCTCTCTCTCTCTCTCTCTCTCTCTTTTTTTTTTTTCTGGCACACAGAGTGTCCTGTTCTCCGAAGAAGGTTGAGTTGTTTTGGTAGACAGAGGGCTGGAGGGAAGACGCGGAACTACTCTGGATACCAGGGAAGAGAGGAAATTCACCATTTCCTTCTACGTGCACAAGAGAGCGCCCTTGAGAATATCCATGGGATGGAAAGCCCTCAGTATCAACTCAAGAGAATCGCAGGGAATGTAAGACTGGTTGAGATTTCACCTCCTTCCCACCGAGCGGACCTGCGAATGCTGAGAAAAGTGGAAGTACCCTTGGAGTAAAGGAAGGGCAAGTGGGGGGCCCCCCAGGCTACTAGCTACAGAGCAACCCAGAGCAAGCCCTAGAGATGCTACCAGGCGGAAGTGGGTCCTTGGAAGAAGGAAGTGTCCCCTGACGTTCAACAGGGCTTCCTTGCAGTCCCAGAGGAATCGGCACCCTCTGCGGAGGAATAAGTGGCACTGAACTTAGGGAGACTTCCTTAGCAGGTGTACCCCCAAAACAGAAGAGTCAGAAGGAGGAGGAGATGCAAGAAGGCAAGTCACACCTAGAATTGATCTCCAGGCAAAAGGCGCCTCCGAATTAAGATGCCGAACCGCAGGGCAACCTGTTTTTCCGCCCTCCCTCCGGCTCTGCCAACCTGCTCCCCTCTCCTCCCCTCTTCTGGAAGAGAAGCACCCCTTACCCCCCCACCTCAGAAGGAGAGAGACTTCTCCTTGATCTGCGGACCGGTGGAAGCCACCGGAGGAACGGACCAGCTGCCTTCCGATGGTCTCCTCCGAAGGGGAAAAGACCCCTACATCCAACCCTCTTTTTTTTTTTTCCTCCTCGCCGGCCCCAGCGGGATCCCTAGGCCCATCGGCCCCTGCCAAGCAGGCTGGGGATGATGGTGGTTTCCTAGCACCGACCTCCTGACCGGAGGAGCCGGTGTCTCAGCGCTTCCCCTGCCCCTGGGGAATCCCTTCGCGCAGGAGACACCCCACCCCCCGCCGCCCACCCCCCCCAAAAAGAGACAAACGAGCCCTCCCCCGGGGGGCTCCACTTACAACTCCCCGCGCCAGCTCCTCGGCGGTGGGGGTGGGGGCGGCCAGGGTCCGCCGCGTCGCCAAGCAAAAGGCCAGCATCAGAAACATCTCCTGGGGGGGCAGACACGGCCGGGGCCAACAGCTCCCCAACATCCCTTTTAGTCTTCTGCCGTCGCCGCCGCTACCGCCGCTACCGCCGCCGCCTGCAGCCGCGGAGCCTCCGAGGACGGCTGGGGAGGACGCCGGGCGACGCCGGCGATCCGCAAGGGGGAAGAGACGGAGGGCGACATCCGCGCTTCTGCGCTGCCCGGGCTGGCGGCGGGGACTGTCGCCGGGGGAAAGCCGCTCCCTTCGCAGCAGCAGCAACAGCAACAGCAGGAGCCCACCCACCCCTTCTCTCCAGCCCGCGTCGTCAGAAGGCGAGGACCCGGGTCCGGGGGCGCAGTTGCAGAAGCGGCGGCGATGCTCTGCCCGGAGAACAAGCCTCTGAGATCCGAGGACTCTTGGAGAGGAGGGGAGGGGGGTTTGGATGGATCGCGGGCAACGGCGTCGGCTCCAACTTTTCTGGCGCAACCGGTGCGCCCGGACAGGCAGGCAGGCAGGCAGCAACAGCGGACCGACAGGCGCTCCAAGAAGCTGCAGTTCCTCGGAGCTGCGAGGAATCCACCGCTCGCTCCCTCTGGATCGCGGTCGGTGGGTGGGTGGGTGGGGGAGCGATCCGAAGCCCCCCCAGCTGAGTCCGGGCCTCGCGCCTCCGACAGCTTCGCCGGAGAGGCGCAGCCGCCACCCAGCAACCCCCGGCCGAATGAAGGGAGCGCCGGCCGAGCCGGCGGACTCCTTCGGCCGCGGCGGCGAAGCCCTGCGAAGGAGGGCGGAGCGGGAGGGGCGGAGGCGTCGCCGTGGCCGTGGCCGGAGGGGGGCGCTGGCGAGCGGGGGAAGCACGCGCGCTCCCGGCTCGGGCACGGGGCTCCCTCCCGCGCGTCAAGACGCAGCGCAGCCGCCAGCCGGGATGGAGGATTGCGCGTGGCCGGGCGAGGGTTGTGGCTCTGGAGAGGTTGGGTGTGTGTGTGTGTGGGGGGACAAAGGGTAGAACAGTGGTTCTCAACCTTTTTAATGCCAGGACCCCCCCGACCGGTCGTAAGTCGAGGACTACTCAACCGGTCTTAAGTCGAGGACTACTCAACTGGTGCAGCCCCGTTTGCAGAATGGGACTTTTGGCAGGCTCAGCAGGGCAGAGACAGCCTGGACAATTCCTATTGGCTTTGGAAAGCCAATAGAATTAGACTCTATTCAAGAGAGTCTATTCTATTGGCTTTCAAAGGCCAATAGAATAAAAGGGAGTAGCACAGCTAAGGAAAAGGGGAAAAAAATGGCGGACTGCGTTGTTTGGCGACCCCCGTGAAATGGTCGTTTGACCCCAAATGGGGTCCCGACCCACAGGTTGAGAACCACTGATCCAGATGCTTCCAGTTCTTAAAGACTGGGGTAGAAGTTGGGGGGGGGGGCTCTGTGAGATGGAGGCTGCGACGGGGAGAGAGGACCATGGGTTCAGAGGACGGGATTTGGAAGCACCTGATCCTGTTCCGACTTTGGAGTGGTCCCTTCCCTTTAGGCCAGTGGTTCTCAACCTTTTTAATGCCTTGACCCCCAACCAGTCATAAGTCGAGGACTACTCAACGGGTGCAGCCCCCTGTGCAGAATGGGACTTTTGGCGGGCTCAGCAGGGCAGAGACAGCCTGGACAATTCCTATTGGCTTTTGAAAGCCAATAGAATTAGACTCTATTCAAGAGAGTCTATTCTATTGGCTTTCAAAAGCCAATAGAATAAAAGGGAGCTAAGGAAAAGGGGGAAAAAATGGCGGACTGCGTTGTTTGGCGACCCCCGTGAAATGGTCGTTTGACCCCAAATGGGGTCCCGACCCACAGGTTGAGAACCACTGCTTTAGGGGTTGCTATTCTTTGCATCGCCCTTTCCATCATCTTCCTCACCATCCGTCTTGGGGATGTACTTACTGGGAGATAGCGCGAAAGCGCGTCCTCCCGGCAATCTTGCGGGACCAGAAGCTAAGGACAATTGACACATAAACGCACACACGTCATTAAAGGCCTTTCCTGCAGAGAAAGCTAAATAGCTATTTATTTATTTTTTTTAAAGTTTAAGCCACCCTTAAAATGCAGCTTTTCAAAACCACCTGCCCCGGAAAACTAGGCAAAGAGAAACTGGCAAGGGAAGGGTCAGGTAAGAGAAGGCGTAGCCCACAGCTTCAGAGTGAGACCAGCAAGGGACCCTCTCTAAGTTTCTTTGGCTATAAAGGAGATGACCGCAATGGTGGGTGAGCAAGACCCTGAGAAACGGTGGAGAGATGCTCTGTAGGGCGGGGATCCCCAACCTGTGGGCCAGGAGTTGTTTGCAACCAGGCCGTGGAAACGGCGGGTGAGCGCACGCTCACGTGCATCCCCGCTTGCAAGAGCAGCGGGCGCGCGTGTGGTCCATTTGCGTGCATGGTAGGTGTGTGTGCATGTCGCCAAGTCGTCTTATACGCCGGAAATTACGATAGTTTCTGGCGTATAAGATGACTTTCTAGGCGTGCAAATCGGCGCCGAAGTCGGGGGTCGTCTTATACGCCGGAAAATACGGTATATGCCGAGGCGAACAGAACTGAAGTGGTACCTATTTATCTACTCGCATTTGCATGCTTCAGAACTGCTAGGGAGTCAGGCCTAGGGTGTGATGGCTCAGCGGTTCAAGATGCTGAGCTTGTCAGCTGGAAAGCTGAGGAACCAGGTTGAAGACCCAAGTGCTGCATGATGGGGCGAGTTCCTGTTCTTTTCTCCAGCTCCTGCCCAACTGGCAGTTCTCTTAAAGAGAGAGAGGATAATAAAGAGTTATTAGCTCGTCAGATGGCGTTTCTTAATAAGACTGACGTGTTATTCTCTTCCTTTCTTCTGCTATGAATCTTTCGTTTAGAACCGTGTTATTTCATGGGCTAACACATCGTAGGAAACAAAAAGCCGGGGATGGAAATCCTGCTGAATTGCATTAAACAGGAAGGACCGTAGTTTTATGCACAGGATTATATTAGCCTTTTTTTTGTCACACCCCAGTTGTTATACCTCAGGGGAGAGAGAAGGTGGGTCATCACAAAGCTCTGTTATTGTGAAACGAAGAAGTCCTAACATGTAATAGGTGTGATTGTTAGGAAGCTCGCTGAAAAACAAATCATAAAAAAAATAGTCTTGTTTTTTGGCTTCTTGATTTCAAAATCAAAAACAACATTTCTTTCTTACTGTTTCAGGGAAGGATGGAGAAACCTGGATCTGCAGACCGATTGCAGCCCATAATGGATTTATATCAAATAACTCAAGGTGGTGACAACACACCTTCCTATTTTGCCCACAACATAAGGTGGATTGAGCTGAGAGAGAGAGAGAGAGAGAGAGAGAGAGAGAGAGAGAGAGAGAGAGAGAGAGAGAGACTGATTCAAGGACAACACATTGGCTATTGTGCCTAAATTGGTGACTATTGTAACTAGAATTTACTGTCTCCTGGTGATTGGCCCAAAGTCATCCAACGGGCTTTCATGCCTAAGGCAGGACTAGAACTCACTGTTTCCTGACTTCTAGCTGGTGCCTTTACCACTAGACAAAGATAGTGGTAGGGGTGGAGCTTAATGTAGAAGAAGGTTGCTCCTCCCTTAAAGCTCCACCTCCTGCTAAATTGAGCTCTTGAGTTCTCCAGCCCTGCCTTTTATGTTTCCACCACACTATCTGAAACCTGTATGATTCCTCCGTCAACAGGATATTATTTTTATTGATTCACTTCGGTATTTATCTCTCACCTTGCCATGACCATGCATAAGGCAGCCTCGCGCATTTTTAAAGAAAAGCAAATTAAAACGCAACTCTGCCAATAAAACAGGAGGCCAGGCACAGCCATTGAACAGCACCATAAAACATATTCCACAAACAGCAAATAAAACATCCTCGGAGATGCCCTAAATAAAGAGACAGGGAGGAAATGGTTAGAATAAAATAGGTTGAGGGCGCACCCAGGAAAGAAGCTGCCATGTGTGTGTGTGTGTGTGTGTGTGTGTGTGTGTGTGTGTGTGTGTCTCCCTGCAGACACTGATATTGTCACTTATCAGATGAAGACAAGAAATAAGAGGAAATAGAGCAAGGAGGAGGAGGAGAAGGAGGAAGCAGCATCTGTTATCAAGATGGAAGGAAGGAAGGAAGGAAGGAAGGAAGGAAGGAAGGAAGGAAGGGAAGGAAAGAAGGAAGAGAAGGAGGGGAAGAAGAGGAATAGGAAGGAGGAGGAGAAGGAAGCAGCATCTGTTATCAAGATGAAAGGGAAGGAAGGAAGGAAGGAAGGAAGGAAGGAAGGAAAGAAGGAAGAGAAGGAGGGGAAGAAGAGGAATAGGAAGGAGGAGGAGGAGGAGAAGGAGGAAGCGGCATCAAGATGAAAGGGAAGGAAGGAAGGAAGGATAGGAGGAGGGGAAAAAGAGGAATAGGAAGGAGGAGGAGAAGAAGGAAGCAGCATCTGTTATCAAGATGAAAGGGAAGGAAGGAAGGAAGGAGAGGAGGAAGGGAAGAAGAGGAATAGGGAGGAGGAGGAGGAGCTTTTTATTGTCTCTTTTGAATGGTGTGTGAATGTGGTTTATCTCTTTGTGTATATATTGTAGACATATTGACACACATAGATCAGAACACATTCTCTCCAGCAACCCAGATAAGCAGAGTCCAGGCAAAAAAATAAGCAGGGAACAATACTCAAATCAAAGAACTACGAAGGAAAAGACCACACAGAGAGCGAACCCCACTCCTTTCAGCACTGATAATGTTACCTAGTGGGGTAATGAGACAGCTGAAAGAAAGCAGCCAGGCTCAGCGAGCACCAAGGACTTCCCATTTCATTCAATTTTAAGAAATCAAACTTTTTTTTTTTTTAAAAAAAGCACGTAAGTCAGGGAACCTAAGCCTGGTTAAAGAAGAAATCCATGGATATTACGTTTGGAGTGCCAGAATTAGCATTGGGAAAGTTCACAAAACAGCCATTTCCATTTGTTCCTCCCCCAGGAAGTCTCTTACCAATTGGGCACCCTCAATTGCCCCAGAAAGGGAGGATGGGATTGGAGAAGGCTATGAAGAGGAGAAGATGCGAATCAGTCCAGAACGAGACATGACTTCTTTGCGTTCAGGGAACTCTCCATTTCCCCAACAACTTTCAATTCGTGTCTCACACAACGCAGGAGGGAATGCCACCATTCTGAAATATTTTCAAGGCCGAGAGGATGAGAGGAAAGAAAACTTCCCGTCCATCAATTCAAGGGTGAAAAAAGCAAGGTTCTACATTTAGGCAAGAAAAACCAAATGCGCAGGTATAGTATAGGGGGTACCTTGCTCAATAGTAGTAACTGTGAGAGGGACCTCGGAGTCCTAGTGGACAATCACCTAAATATGAGCCAGCCGTGTGCTGTAGCTGCCAAAAAGGCCAACACAGTGCTGGGCTGCATTAATAGAGGGAGAGAATCAAGATCATGTCAAGGGTTAATACCATTTTACACAGCCTTGGTAAGGCCACACTTGGAATACGGCATCCAGTTTTGGTCACCACGATGTAAAAAAGATGTGGAGACTCTAGAAAGAATACAGAGAAGAGCAACAAAGATGATCAGGGGACTAGAGGCTAAAACATATAAGGAACGGTTGCTGGAATTGGGTATGTCTAGTTTAATGAAGAGAAGGATGAGGGGGGACATGATAGCAGTCTTCCAATCTCTCAGGGGCTGCCCCAAAGAAGAGGGAGTCAAGC